TTATTATTATTATTATTATTATTATTATTATTATTATTATTATTATTATTATTATTATTATTATTATTATTATTATTATTATTATTATTAAGCTTCCTCAACAATTGGCAGCCCAGCCAACACATCAAAAGGGAAAGTCAGCACCGTAAAAAAAGAACAAGTTTTAAGGTAAATGTTACTCTTTCTTTTTCAGATGCAGAAAAATGCAGCAAATATTCAGAAGATCAACATCCAAATGACAATCAAGATCACTGTATCCCCAAAATAAAGACTTTCCTATCCTATCAAGAAAAAATGGGGATCATCTTGACTTCCATTGTTTTGTTCCTCTCTCCTCATCACATGCTTTGTCTTGGGAACTTTCATTAAATTCCAAGAAACTCCCATAGTCAAAGCCAACAATCGGAACTTCTCTTATACCCTTCTTGTTTGTCTCCTGCTTTCCTTCTTCACCTGCTTCTTGTTCATTGGCCAGCCAAGGAAATCCACTTGCCTGCTTCGTCAAACGGCTTTCAGCATCATCTTCTCTGCTGCCATTTCTTCTGTCTTAGCCAAAACAATCACAGTGGTGCTGGCTAAGGTGATCAGCTTAGCTTCATTGAAAGCCCCAGGGAGATTCCTGGCCAGGAAAGCCACTGTGAAGCAGATGGTGGCCAGGAAGCCCATATAGCCAAGGGCACCATAAAACATGGTGACAGAGCCTTCATTGCACTGTAATACGATTTCTTTAGATTGTGAGTGCATGTGTCCCATCCTGATGAGCAAGTGCTAAGCTTTGATGTCACCTCTGTCCGGAAAACACTGCAGACAGTTAACATTCGGAAAGCAGCAGGCCCAGATAACATCCCTGGATGTGTCCTCAGGGAATGCACAGAGGAGCTGGCTTGTGTTCTCACAGATATTTTCAACCTCTCATTGCAGCAGGCAGTGGTCCCATCATGTTTTAAGATGGCCATCATCTTTCCAGTGCCAAAAAAGTCCACAATTACAGGCCTCAATGATTACCGTCCGGTTGCACTGACATCCACCATCATGAAATGCTTTGAGAAGCTGATAAAGGACATTATTGTATCTAGCCTCCCGCCAGCATTTGACCTGCTTCAATTTGCCTACCGACCAAATCGCTCTAAGGAGGATGCTATTTCTTCCGTTCTCCATCTGAGAAGCATTTAGAGGAAAGAAATACTCAGGTACGTTTGTTGTTTGTCAACTTCAGTTCGGCGTTTAACACAATCATTCCCCAGCATCTAGTAGACAAACTGGGCTTTTTAGGCTTAAACTCTCCTTTGTGCAACTGGATTCTTGATTTTCTTACCAACAGGCCCCAATATGTGCGAGTTGGAACAAATATCTCTAATACCATTTTCTTGAACACAGGTTCTCCTCAGGGCTGCGTCTTAAGTCCGCTGCTGTTCACCCTGTTGACCCATGACTGTTGTGCTAGGTTTGCCACCAACCATATTGTGAAGTTTGCAGATGATACAACAGTAGTGGGCCTTATTCAGGATGACAAGGTTGAAGCTTACCACAAGGAGGTTGAGGTATTGGTGAACTGGTGTAAGGAAAACAGCCTAGTTTTAAATACCGGAAAAACCAAAGAGATCATTGTTGATTTCAGAAAAGGCAGGCACAGCCACACTTCTCTGTGCATTAATGATTCACCTATGGAGATGAAGATTCTCAACGAGGCTCCTTGCAAAACAAGGGATTAACTACCTTAATTGAAGATAGCTGGCTGCAGTCTGATTTAAGAGATAGCCTTGTTGAAAAATGTTCAGTGAGAAGGCAGGTGGGATCAAGAGGAAAATTAGCCTTGAGTCATTGTGTAGCCACAAGAGATCTAGGACTGAACCCTTCCTAAGTTCCATGGAACAGAGGTCCCCAAGCCCCAGACAACAGGTACCAGTCCGTGGCCTGTTAGGAACCAGAGCGGTAGGTGAGAGAGCAAAGCTTCATCTATATTTGTAACCGCTCCCCACCGCTAGCACCACCATCTCAGCTTCACCTCAGATCATCAGGCATTACATTTCATAAGAGCGTAAACCCTACTGTAAACTGCATATGTCATTGTATGCTCCTCCCCCTCCTTCCCATCCCTCTACATATCTTCCACAAAACTGGTCCCTGGTACCAAAATGTTTGGGGAGTGCCTCCATGGAACATTATCTATCTGTTCCAAATGGAAGGCAAGCATTCTGGGGAGATTCCTATATTATAGGCAGAATAATGGTTGCTTCCACCTGACATAATATCTGACATTATGACCTGGAACCTGTCACTTTTATGGGGAATGGAGTGCATGTTAATTTGAAACATGAAAAGTGTGATGAAGACAAAGGAAAAGAGAGGTCATCTCCCTGGTAAAGGTAAGATACTTTTGCTCCAATAATTTTTATGTTCTGCTCCCACTTACCTCTTATTATTAGAAAGATGTGAATTATTAAAAAGCCTATCAAAATGTCCTCATGGAAATTTTTGGTGTGTGTAGTCTTCTTGGAAAGGAAAGTTTCTCCTTTCCTCTGGGGACACCCACCTTCCGTGGTGGAGATGGTTCCTTCTGCACAGGGAAGACAGTTGTAGCAGCAGTTGGGCTTCCCTTCCTGAGCCACCTTCATGAATCCAGGATGGCAGCTTTCCACACACCTGAAAGGAGGCAGGGGCTGAACAAAGGCAAGAAGACCAGAAAATGACTTATGAATTAATTTTCAGAAAGGGGAAAAAGAGAGAGACCTTGGTGATCTCCAAACCTTATATAAAGAGCTCAGAAATGTGCTTGTTTGCATGTTGCTTCCATTCTTTTTTTCCTAATACTTTGTACATGTACATTTTAGTTTAGGTTCTAAATTTACATGATAAATTGCTAAAGATAAAGTTTAATGCATTTTTTTTCTTTGGGGAAAGAAACCAAACATACCCTAGGTCAAACATTCCTCACTTCTGAGATGACTAGCAAATAGTTTCCTTAAATAGATAAAGATATATTTCTTAAAGACAGCTTGATATCTACCCAACGAATTTATTGCTTCTCTTGGATGATGTAGATGACATTCAAAACCACATTCTGTCTGAAGAAAGCAATCTTGTTTGAGAGCGGGCAACTAAATTTCATTTTTGATGTGTGTCATTGTGCCCACAGTAAAAGAAATGACAATAAAGAAATCTTATCTATCTTATCTTGTTCACAAAAACTGAAATAAAGATTTTGTCTACCTTGTTCAGCTCATTGATCTTTGCCACACCATGTGGATTGACCATGAAGTTGAAATCCAGGGATCCCTGTTTTTCTAGGCTGCCAAACATCACTCTATTGATTGATGTGTTGTGACACAGCCAATTGAAAATGTCCAGATCCACTGTTAGTTCTCTCTTCCCATCCAGATACACCCCTTCTATTGATTTATTATAAAATTCAGAGTTTCCAAGGAAGGGATGAAGCTGGAATGGAAGAAAAAATGGGAAGGTTTAGATAAGATGTCCAGATTTCTGTGGAAAGTCCCCTTTTTAGGAGACAATCAATAAACATTGAGTTGTAAGCCTTACCAACTTAAATATATATAAACTGGACAAACATTGTGAAATGTGATAGAGAAATAATTCCAGAGAATTTCTGGATTCTCTAATTATTCTCGTGAAAAATATGGTTGTATTTCTGGAATCACTGTATCTGTTTCTTGACCTTATCAGTCTGGGAGGTCTGTCATGAAACTTGAAAGCCTGTCCCATCTTTTATATATCCCTTACATAGAACAAATTCAAGGCAAGGTTATTTTGAATTTCATTCTCTTCCTTCCATCTGTCTGCATCCAATCCCCAAGTCTATTTCATTTATAACAGCCTTCTTAGGAGACATGTAAGCTTCTGTAATTCTGTGATTTCTCTATTTTTCTCTGTAAACAATTTAGAGAGGGCTGTAAAGCACTATGAAGTGGTATATAAGTCTAAGTGCTATAGTTATTGCTGTCTCCCTTCTTCTGGTGGATGGGAAGGAGGAGAATGAAACGGAGGATTGTCTGGAGTTTGGAGTACCTGCTTCAATTAAAGGCCTACGTGGAAAAATGCATGGAAACATGGAAACATGGAAAAATGCAACAAGTGTCCATAACCAACACTTTGTACAACAGTTCCATCTGTAATTCCAAGGAAACAGAAAACCTCTCACCATAAAAATGGGCCTTGATGTGCAGGATGAATGTGAAAAAGTGTTTGAGTAAGATCTTGAGAAGCACAGTAAAGAGATTCTGCCTAGGAAACAACAAGATAAGAGAGGGTAAACCCCACAGCTATATAATGGCGGGGGGAAAAGGCTCAAAAGGAACCCCCAACTTCTCAAGAAGATTCTGAAATATTTGCATTTTCAGACTTGCAAGATTCTATTAATGTAGCCTTACAATAAGTTAGAAGTGGTTCATGTGATCTCTTTCCCATCTAGTATCCCTGGAAAGGCTGACAAAAGAAGACTCTATTCCTTTCTCCACTCCTTTCATTGTTGCATTGCAAGACTTGTTTGGATAAGATCATCCAATGCCATGGGAGGAAGTTTCAATATGCTGATGATACTCAACTTTGTATCTCCATCCCAGTGACACAAGTGTTTTAGTCACTGCCCTATGTGATGCTTGGAGTCTGTGGGTGCCTGGATGGTGAACAATAGGCTTCAGCTGAATCCTGGTAAGACTGTATTTATATGGAGCCTTGGGATCCAGGAGTTTAACATCTTTAGCTCTGAATGGAGTTGCATTTCCCTAAAAAGACCCCATGCAGAACTTGGGGTCCTCCTAGACATGACTCCCGTTTGAAGAGCAGTTGGCAGTCGGGGATAGGAAACCCTTTGCACAACTTTGGATTGTGCACCAGTTATGCCTAATTTATCTGGCCCAATGTCAGTCATTCATGCCCTGGTCATCTTGCTCTTTGACTACAACAATGCACTCAAGTTCCGGTGGTGACTGCCGCGCCGATGGTGGCTTTTTTCTAAGCTGTCCGCCCCGGGGATGCGTTAAAGCCTGAAGGAACGGCGCTCAACAGCTGTTCCGCGGCTTGGAACCTCTCTCCCCGGGTGAAGGGGAGGAGGTGAGTTTTCCTGGATAGAGGTTGAGTTCCCTAGTCCTCTAAAAAATTTTCTTTGGAGGACGAAGGTGTGAACTCCCTTGGAGTCTGGGTTTTCTCCGCACCTCGGGCCGCCTTTGTTCTTAGGAACAAAGCCAGACACTGCTTCCACATCTGCTAATTGAAGAGACTGTGAGTAAAATTAAAAGCAGACGGAGCTGATCAGGAGGATTGGAATTTTGGTTAATTTGGGACTTTAACTCAGAAGATAAATAAGTATCTTCTTCATTTACTATTTAAACTACAACAAGAAGAAAAAATATGGCCGCGGAATGTCGTTCTTTTGTTTGAAGTGATACTTAAGAGACTTTCACTTTTACTTGACGTTTAAGTGAAGACAAGGAAACAATGTAACATTTACTAGTTTATATAAATTGCAAGCTTCCTTTTTCCTTTTTTTCATATACATATCTTGCAACTATTGCTTTTACAAGATTATACAAGATTTTTTTTTATTTTTTTTTAAAGAGATGGCTTCAAAACGTACTGGAATTTCTGCTCCTCCGAAAGGTCAGATTTCTTCTCCGGTTGTTCAAATTTCACAGCAACCTAAGCCAAAGATGCCCCCTCCTTCTCCCCCACCG